TACACATGGGTTGTTTGCACCACAAATTGATAATATCAGTTTACAAAAAAAAGACTTTTGTTTGTAGGAAGTCGTAGGCTCTAATTTACCAATGAGCCTCTACACAGTCTACAAGAAGACATAAAAAGCAAACCACCTTATACTCTATATTTTATAATGGTACAGCCAAGATATCGGTGGACAAGCTGGTTTGTGCGTCTATATGTGAAGAAAGACTGGGATGTATACACTGCACATATACACCTTGGAGACAGGTATTTAACCCCCAACAAAAAAAGAAAAAATGCCCTTAGTAAATTGGTGTAAAGAAGTAAAAAAGAAAAAAAAAATGGGAAAATTTAAATTAATATCATAATTTTAATTAATAAATCTGAAACAAAGACTTCAAGTATGCTATTTAATGGAACACATAAAAAGTATCCTATGTATTTTTCTTTTCTCTTAAAGGGCAATATAAAATATCATGACATATATTACACAGCCGTCCATTTCAAGAGTGTCTGCCAAAGTCATTGCCTTTTTTTTTGGAAAAAAGATTGTGGCTTTATTTGTACTCCACTCTTTGCTTCCAGCGTATGCTTGTAATGTCAGAATATAGGACGGCTTTCTTCATATAAACGTTTATACAAGCTGATATTCTGTTATGTAGAGCATATATAGATATATAGCTATTCTATAATGTCTCTTATGCTAAATAATATTCTCTTTTCTTTAAAAAAAATATCTCTAACTTTTGAACACTCCAAATTGATGCCTTTTGGAGTGTCTGGTTTATGTATTCAACTAAAAAAAAAATTGTACTTTTAGAAACAACTCGTATTTTTGCTATTGGGCATTTAAAGAGCTTATTGAAGTGGTGCAAGTTTCCCGAATTTCAGGGTTCTATGCTTTTTGAGAGTGAAAAAATCGGATATTTTGATCAAAATTCGAGTAATTGTAATATAATAAACCTCGAAGAGGTGGATCACAATGTGTCTCACCAGGTTACTTAAAGCCAAAAAAAAAACATTGCTTATTTGATTCGATTTTTAATTTTCTATAATTGAAAAGCTATGATTACCATTGGTGTGCATTTGCATATGCTTGTAGAAATCTTAAAAAATATCATTTCCAGTACACTCATATTTAATCGACCATAGAAAAGGTTCATTTATACAAAGGCTCCGTGCTTCAAACTAAAATAGTCTCAAGCGAACCAAAGCTAGACTATGAACCTCAAAGTAATAAGTGGAATCATACTATACAGTACTGTAGCGCATTATATTGTATTACAAAACAAAAGTTATAAATCAAAGCCTTTAATCCAACAGAGTATTATTTCTAGGTTATTCGTGCATCCAGTTGAGTTTGGTATACAAGCGCAAAATATCAAAAGCACTAGATCCTATAAATCGATAATTAGTAATCGATAGCGTCTTGCTCCCAACCAAACAAAACCTATACATTCAGTAGCAGTAGATTGTCTCTTTGCTTTCATATTGTGCCGTCAGTCAGTCCGAGCAATAACAGAAAAAAATAGTAAATAAGCAGAGCCTTTAAAAGGTGATTTATATATATGTAATAGCCATTTTACTAGCTTGATCTATCTGTGACCAGGCTAGCACAATTGCAAGCACCACTACTTTTTCATGGTGTATAATGTAACTTATATAAATAATTATAATTATCGATAGAATGGTGTATATTTGAACACATATAAATGTAAAGTGTTTCAGGCAGTTGGGTTATTCTGTATTAATTTCTCGGTTGGATTATGATTGGTTTATAAAGTAGTACAAACCAAGGTCGATTGACAAACACTAGCCTAGACCCTATTCTTCTTTTTACTTTTATTTTACTCTAAGAACGATGCTTTAACTTGAGGTACCAACGACTTTCAATAGTCAGGCTGTCAATCCCTTCATACTGAAGCACTGAAAGTACTTTTATTTCAAGAAAGTATTCCTACACTTTGTGTTTATTAACTCAAGACACTGGTGAAAAAGCTAGAAGAAAAATGGAAGTCTTTCACACGAAAGAAAAGAAAAGATATAAGCAGCAATTTTTTTTGGGGGTGCTTCTTAAACTAATAAAGTCACAGCATGTGAAACAAACAAATAAATATACACAAGACTTTAATTAAAGCTTTATAATCAACACAACTTTATAATTCTTTATTGTAGTTTAACGTCTAGTCGATTAATACTTTGTATATCAGTAGTACAGCTAAAATGAACACAGAGGCATATATAGTGTCTCGACAAGTGGCTATTCAAAAGCATAAGCCTTGTTAACAGAATTACAACAGAAAGTAGAATAAAAAAGGGGATGGGGGTCCATAGCAACTGAATAATTTGACATGCATATAGTCCACCAATCGGAAGACATCATTTAAATGTTTTCATGCTAAAGTAAAGTCTGGACCACTATTGCTACTATGCTCCTCTAAGCCCCATGACACATGTGATGCTGCACGAACAGCACGGACCTTATGTGACATAAAAAGAACTAAAACAAAAAAAGAGGCAAAACAAAAAAACAAAAAGTAAAACAAGTGCCTGCACAGCATGTCCTTCAGAATATAAGTGATACTTCTTTAAAACCCAAAACCCATATTTTAAGCATAGATATTAAATAAAGAAGTAAAATAGTAATAATATATACATGTTGTCAAAGCTAAAAGATAAAAGAAAACCGAAAAAGGAATAAGAAAAAAACCGAATTTTATAATATATTATCAAACTATCATAATAAAAATAATAAAAAAAGAACAGCAACTCATGATTGAGACGTCATGAGTTTTATAAAAAAAAAACCTATCCAAACAGAATGCGTCAAAACAACTCTCTTTCACATACTATTAATACTTTATACACTTCTTTACTGCTCTCTCACAAACTGCTTTAATCAACATAGACGTTAAAGACGAATCATGACCAATACAAATCTATTTTGCTAGTCAAATCTCAGGATTTTATCATATGTAAAACAGTCAGTAGCAAGATATAAGACAATACGTCAAAACTAGTACACAGCAAAAATGAAATACTGAGGTCCAACACTGGTTTGACCATCAATCCATCCAAAGCCTATTCACATTCAGAAACAAGAGATAAACTGACAGGACTTACTATATTTCAAGGAGTATATGATATTCATCAAAGACACACATTGTGAAGATTATATTTGTCTAGTCTTTTGACAAACAAGGTCAACAATAAAAAATAAGATCTCCATCCAGGCCTACAGGTATATAAAGGCTCGTTGATTAATCATTCACTGTCTTTGATATTTCTGTAGGGACTTTTCAGGCAAAGTCAAGCAATCAAGAACAGGTTTTCATCCAGGGCCACAGGTACACCAAGACTCGAGGAGCATATGCTCATTGTCTTTTGTATGCTTCTAGTGCCTTCTGTCCAGGTCAAGCATCAGGGATCCAATCAGAGTCCACGGTTATCAGGTGTATCAAAACTCGATGAGCAGTTACTCACTTGTTATTGTATATTTGTAGTATCCATTCCGTCCAGGTCAAGCTTCAAGGTTCAGGTCGAGGTCCACGGCTTTCAGGTATATCAAAACTAGATGAGCAGTTACTCACTTGTTTTTGTATATTTGTAGTATCCATTCCATCCAGGTCAAGCTTCAAGGTTCAGGTCAAGGTCCACGGTTTTCAGATCGAGGTCCACGGTTTCAGGTATATCAAAACTAGAGGAGCAGTTACTCACTTGTTTTTGTATATTTGTAGTATCCAATCCATCCAGGAAAAGCATCAATGTTCCGATCTCCCAGCTATGGTCATAGGTATAACAAAACCATATGCGCATTTACTCACTAGCTTTTATCTATTACTAGTGTCAGCCATCCAGGTCAAGTGTGAAGGACCCGATTTCCCAGCAATGGGTATAGGTATAACAAATCGTTGTGGGAATATACTCACTAGTTTTAATATATTTATAATGTTTAGCCATCGATGTTAGGCGTCAAGGTTCTGATCTTCCAGCCATGGTTCTAGGTATATCAAAACAATATGGAAATATGCTCAATGGTTTTATTATGTTTTTAGTGTTCAGTCATTCAGGTCAATCAACAAGATTCTGATCTCCTGGCCATGGTTATAGGTATAACCGAACGTTATGGGAATATAATCACTAGTTTTAATATATTTCTAGTGTTTAGCCATCTATGTCAAGCGTCCAGGTTCCGATCTCCCAACCATGTTTACAGGTATAACAAAACGTTATGCGCATTTACTCGTATGCTTTTATCTATTACTAGTGTTCAGCCATCTAGGTCAAGTGTCAAGGTTCCGATTACCCACCCATGGTTAAAGGTATAAAAAACATTATGGGCATATATTGACTAGTTTTTATATTTATTTGTGAACTCCAGCCATCCGTGTCAAGCGTCAAGGACCCAATCGCCCATCCATGGTTATAGGTATAAAAACATTATGAGCATATACTCATTAGTTTTTATATTTATTTAAGTCTCCAGCCATCCATGTCAAGCATCAAGAACCCGATCCCCTGTCCATGGTTATAGGTATAAAAACATTATGGGCAAATACTTACTAGCTTTTATCTATTTCTAGTCTCCAGTCATCAATGTGAAGCAGCAAGGACCCGATCAACTGTCAATGGTTATAGGTAAAAAAAACCATTAGGGACATATACACACTAGCTTTTATCTATCTCTAGTCTCCAGTTATCCAAGACAAGCATCACGGTTTCGATCTCCCAGCTATGGTTATAGGTATAACAATACATTATGCGCATTTACTCACTAGCTTTATTATAGTTCAAGTCTCCAGCCATCAAGGACAAGCATCAAGGTTCCGATCTACCAGCTATAGTTATAGGTATAACAGAACGTTATGCGCATTTACTCACTAGCTTCTATCTAGTACTAGTGTTCAGTCATCTAGGTCAAGTGGCAAGGACCCAATCGCCTGGCCATGGGTAGAGGTATAACAAAACGTTGTGGGAATACACTCACTAGTTATAATATATTTATAGTGTTCAGCCATCGATATCAGGCGTCAAGGTTGCGATCTTCCAGCCAAGGTTATAGGTATAACAAAACATTATGGAAATATACTCAATGGTTTTATTATGTTTTTAGTGTTCAGTCATCCAGGTCAATCAACAGAATTCTGATCTCCCGTCAATGGTTATAGGTATAACAAAACGTTATGGCAATATACTCACTATTTTAAATATATTTCTAGTGTTCCGCCAATCATGTCAAGTGTCCAGGTTCCCATCTCCCTGCCATGGTTATAGATGTAAAAAATCATTAGGGACATATACTCACTAGCGTTAATATATGTCTAGTGTTCAGTCATCCAGATCAAGCATCTAGGTTCTGATTGCCAATCCATGGTTATAGGTATAAAACAACATTATGGGCATATACTCACTAGTTTTAATATACTTCTAGTCTCTAGCCATCCAGGACAAGCATCAAGGTTCCAATCTCCCAGCTATGGCTATAGGTATAACAAAACGTTATGCGCATATACTCACTAGCATTAATATATGTCTAGTGTTCAGTCATCCAGATCAAGCATCCAGGTTCTGATCGCCAATCCATGGTTAAAGGTATAAAACAACATTATGGGTATATACTCACTAGTTTTAATCTAGTTCTAGTCTCCAGCCATCCAGGTCAAGCATCAAGGTTCTACTCGCCCGTCCATGGTGGTAGGTATAACAAAATGTTATGTGCATATATTCACTAGCTTTAATATATTTCTAGTGTTCAGCCATCCAGGTCAAGCATCAAGGTTCCGATCGCCCATCAAAGATTATAGTTATAAAAACATTATGGGCCTATACTCACTAGCTTTAATATTTTTCTAGTGTTCAGTTATCCAGGTCAAGCATCAAGGACCCTATCGCCTGCCCATGGTTATAAGTACAAAAACCATTATGTGCATATACACATTTTTTTAATCTAGTTCTAGTCTCCAGCCATCCAGGTCAAGCATCAAGATTCTGATCGCCCGTGCATGGTGATAGGTATAACAAAATGGTATGGGCATATATTCACTAGATTTAATATATTTCTAGTTTTCAGCCATCCAGGTCAAGCATCATGGTTCCGATCGCCCGTCAATGGTTATAGGTATAAAAAAACATTATGGGCCTATACTCACTAGTTTTTATATTTATTTCTAGTGTTCAGTCATTCATGTCAAGCATCAAGGTTCCGATCACCCGTCCATGGTAATAGGTATAATAAAACGTTATTGCCATTTACTTACTAGTTTTTATATTCATTTCTAGCCTCCAGCAATTCAGGTCAAGCATGAAGGACCCGATCTCCCCTCCATGGTTATAGGTATAACAAAACGTTATGCGCATATACTCACTCACTTTAATATACTTCTAGTGTTCAGTCGTCCAAGTCAAGGTTCAAGGTTTCGACTGCCCATCCATGGTTATAGGTATATAAAAACATTATAGGCATATACTTACTAGCTTTGATATATTTCTAGTGTTCAGTCATTCATGTCAAGCATCAAGGTTCCGATCACCCATCCATGGTTATAGGTATAACAAATCGTTATTGTCATTTACTCACTAGTTTTGATATTTATTTCTAGCCTCCAGCCATTCAGATCAAGTGTCAAGGACCTGATCACCCCTCCATGGTCATAAGTATAAAACAACATTATGGGCATATACTCACTAGCTGCAATATACTTCTTGTGTTCAGTCATCCAGGTCAAGCATCAAGGTTCTGGTCTCCCCGCCATGGTTATAGGTATAAAAAAACATTATGGGCATATACTCACTAGATTTAATATATCTCCAGTCTCCAGCTATCCAGGTCAAGCATCAAGATTCCGATCTACCCGCCATGGGTATAGGTATAAAAAGCATTATGGGCATATACTCATTATTTTAATCTAGTTCTAGTCTCCGGCCATCCAGGTCGAGCTTCAAGGTGCTGATCTCCCGTTATATGGTTATAGATATAACAAAAATCGATGAGCAATCACACTCAGCTTTATTTATTTCTAGTGTTGAATCCACCAAGATCATGCTTCATGGATCCAGATTCAGTCCGTGGCTATAGGTATACAAAAACTCGATGAGCAATTACTCATTGGATTTTATATATTTCTAGTGTCTACTCATCCACGGAAATTATCGGGATCCGATTTTCATGAATTGTTATAGCTAACCAAGTTTCCTTTAAACCTTTACTTAAAACAAACTATACTCTTTATTTATACTTTCTTTTGATGGCAAAGCACGATGATCAAATATACATTCATTATGGAAGGTATACAAGTCGTTCTTGGCCATTACTAGCCTAGAAATATATATGACTATTGTTTTTACTCTCCAGGCCAAACAGCAAGGATCAAAACTCAAATTTGGGCTACAGGTAAACAAGTCTTCTTGAGCTTTTACTTACTGTCATTTATATATTTCTAGTGTTTTTTTTTCCTTAAAGTTCAAATATCAAAGATCTGATTTCAAATCAAGGTTACGGGTACACACTTTTCTCTCTGTCTTTACATGCTTTCTTTCGTATTGGCCTAGTGTGTTTACGATCTGGCTACACAATGAAAAAATTGTTTTCCTTCCAGTGCGACAGGTATATACATCTAGTTCGGCCTTTAGTTACTGTTGGCTTTATTTCTCTACTGGCTTCACAGTCCAAGCCAGCCATCATGGATCCTATATCCGTCCAGTGTTACAGGTATACACTTCTCTTTGGGATTTTACTTACTGTCGGTTTTAATTTTCTACTGTCCTTAAAGTCAAGGCCAACGACCAATCATCTGGTATCCGCCGAGAATTACAGATATAAAAATGTTATTGGGCCATTACTTATAATTGTTTTTGTTTCTCTAGTGTCCTTGCAGTCAAGGGTAACGAGCAAGAACCCGGTCTCCATATTGGGATATAGTGTTACACATATCTTTGATTTTTGACTTGCTGCAAACTGTATTTTTTCTCGTGACTTTACAGTCAAATTCAACACTCAAGGACCCGGTTTCCATCAAGTTTTACAGGTATACAAATCTGACAAGTGCTTTTCTTTAATGTGTCTTTTTTTTTTGTCAAGTGCCTTTACTGTCTATGCCAATGATTCCGAATCCGAGCCCTATCCAGAGTGACAGGTATACAAATATGTTTGCGTCTTTACTAACTTTTAGTTTTATATGTCTAGTGCCTATACGGTTTAGGCCGAAGAACTAGGACTTGATATTCATCCAGACTTGCAGATATATATTTTTCGTTGGGCCGTTGATTATTGGCTTTTTTTATCCGTCTATTGTTTTTACTGTCAAGGGCAACCATCAAGGATTCGATCTCCATCCAGTATGACAGGTATACACTTTTCTTTGGGTTTCTACTTATCGCTTGTTTTTTTTTGTCTAGTGTTTTCACCGCCCAGGTCGAAGAACAAGGATTTCTTCTTCATCCACGGTTACAGGTATACAATTCTCTTTTAGCCTTTGCATAACGCTTGTTTGATTTTTCTAATTTCATTAATGTCTATGCTAAATAATAAGCATCTACTCTCCATCTAAGGCCATAGGTTTAAAAAATATTTTTAAGTATTATTTTACTATTTATTAATTAATTAATTATTATTTTTTAATTTTACACAGCCAAGGCCAATCGATCCAGGTTTACTGTCCTCTAGGGTAACAAGTATATGTACATACCTGATCGTTTACTTACTGCTTGTTGTTTCGAGTAATTTTTATTTAGTCAAACTGAATTACCAAAGTTTTACTATCTACCTAGTGCCCGAGGTATACAGGTCTCATTTAGTACTCACGTATCACTTATTATTCTGTCTAGCTTTTTTATAGTTTAAGCCAGCAATCGGGTTTTTAATCTCCATTAAGGATTAAAGGTATACATGACTATGTGAACCTTTACTTACTAGCTATTATATTTTCTAGTCTTTTTACAGGAAAGGCCCACAATTAATATGAGTTGTTTATCCGGGGGGGACAGGTATACAAATCTGCCAAAAAATCTACTTACTATATATTTGCATAATGTTTTTACAGCCGAAGCCAACGATCAAAGCTTTGATATTCTTTTGGGCTCACAGGTATAAAAGTCTCTTTGACTTTTTAGGTACTATCAGTTGTTTTGTTCTAACCCTTTCTTCTCCGTAGCAAGCGTTCAATGCTCAGCTCTACATCAAAGGTCGCAGGTATACAAGAATCTTTAAGCAATTTACTAAAAAATTAGATTTTCCTAGCGTTTACATAGTCAAGGCGAAATGATCATGTTCTTTCTATCCATTCAAGGTTCTAGGTACACACGCACATTTTAGCATTTATTCTTCACTGGTTGAATCTTTTTAATCTTTGACAGTCCATGCCGAGAATCAAGGTCGCACTTCAAAAAATAGGGTTAAGGTATACATGCCTTTTTAAGCATTTACTTACTACTAGTTGCTTTATTCAGACTTTATACAGTCGAGACCAAAGATCAAGAGCCCGATTTCCGCATAGATTTACAGGGATACAAGTGGCTTTCTTTACCCATTAACATATTGATAGCTGTTTGAAGCAGTCTTTTTACAGTTCAATTCAACAGTCAAGGTTCAAATCCCCGTCAAAAATCACTGATATACTGCCACTTTTTAGTATTTACTTACTGCCAATTGTGTTTCTTTAGTCTACTCACAGAAAAGGCCAACAATCAAGATGCCACTCTCCTTCTTGGATGTTAGGTATACCAGTATCTTTGGGTATTTACCTATTACCAGCTTTAGTTCGGTAGTCTTTTCACAATTGAGGCCAACACCCAAGATTCCATAGTTCATGCAGGGTTACTGGTATATATACCTCTTTGAGCATTTGCTTGGTGTCTGCTATATTTGTCTAGTCTTTTCATAGTCAAGGCTACTAATTGAGATTCCGCTGCTCATCTAGGGTAAAAGGTATATATGCTTTTTTTTTTAATAGTTAATCATTGCTTATTGAAATTGTCTAATAATTTTACAGTCAACGCTGATGATCAAGTTTCTGCTATTCGTCGAGGTAACAGGCGTACACCCTCCTTTGAATATCTTTCTGTCATCCATCATATTTATCTAGTCATACCATAGTCCACACCAAGGTTCAAGAGTTTAGTCTCCACCCAGGTTCACAGACATTCAAGTATAATTGTCCTTTTAGGACTGCCGGCTGCTATTGCCTATTGCTTTTAATATATAGGTCAAGGGATAAATTTCCTACTCTCAACCATGAGCCACAGGTATCACCGTTTATTTTGAACATTTATTTATTATCGATTACATTTGATTAGTATTTTAAATCCGAGTCCAACGATCAAGCTTCAGCTTTCCGGGAAGGGTTGAAGATATCCATGTATCTTTGATTTTTTTAATATCGACTGAATTTCTCTGGCGTTTGCACATTCAAGTCCATTGATCAAGTCTTTGGTCGTTATCAAGTTTCCACTTAACATTATTGGGTAAAGGTATATAAGATTCTTAGATTACTTTTTTACAGCCAATGACATTTATCAAGCGTTTTTAGAGTCCTGGTCAACGATCAAGAGCCTGCTATTAATTCAACGTCTTAGATATATAAGTGTATTTAAATATTACTTTACTACTGATTCTATCTATTTAATCTTTTTTTTTTCTTTTTCTTTTTTACATTCTATGCTAGCCCTCACGGCTCTAGTCTCCATCAAGGCTTATAGACATACAAGGTTTTTTTATTGGAATATGTTCTTACTATCAGTTTTAATTTTTCTAGTAATTTCACAGTTCATACCAACGATTAGGCGTCCGATTTCCATCCAGGGCTACAGGCATACATCTTTATTACACCATTTACTTACAGCCTGTTTTATATGTCCAGAATCTTCACAGCTCATGTCAACAGTCACGGTTTTGACCTACATCTCCAACCATAGGTATATATATATTTCCGAGAATTTACTTACTATTAGGTGTATTTTTCTAGTGTTTTCATAGTAAAGACCAACGATTAATATTCCGACATTTTCCTACAGTCATAGACATACAAGTCTCTTTGAGCCTTTAGTTACTTTAAGCTGTATATTCCCATACTTTTTACGGCAAAAACCAGCTATCAAGGTTTCACTCTCCATAAAAATCCTCAGGTATACAAAGCTCTTTAAATATTTTCTTACTATCAATTAGATTATTCTAGTGTTTACACAGTCAAAGCCAAACTATAAAGCCTCTGTTGCCCGTCCAAGTTCTCCAGTATATATATATATATATTGAGCATCTACTTACTGGTTGTTGTTTTTAGTTATCTTGACATAGTCAAAACCAACGATTAAGGTTTCACCATACATCCAGGGTATGAGATACACATGTCTCGTTTAGTATTTAGCTATCAACTATTATTTTGTCTAGCTTTTTTTTTTATATATTTTAAGCCAACGATCAAGTTTTGAGTATTTATTCATGATCACAGGTATATATTTCTTTTTGAACATATACTTATTGTTGGCTTTCTTTTTTTAGTCTATTTACCACCAGGGCGAACGATCAATATTCCGCTGCCCATTTTGGGCTATATGTATACATGACTCTTTAAGCAGTTAATACTTGTCGCTTTTATTTGTCTAGTCTTTTAATCGCCAAGTCCAAAATTTATGGCTCTGCTCTACATCATGGGCCGTAGGTATACAAGTCTCTTTGTGAATCTATTCACTGATGGTTATAAATACTTATAATTTCACAGTTGGTGTCAAAGATCATTGTCTAACTCTTATTCATATGTTACAGGTATACATTGTTTAGTTGCCCATTTTTCTTTGAATGATGCTTGTATTTGCTTATTTTTTTTTCTCTTCGTAGTTTAGGTCAATTATCATGGTTCTATTCTTTATTAAGGATTAAAGACATAGGAGGGGTTTTTAAAATTTTCTCACTGAAAATTGTATTTACTAATTTTTTTTACAGCCGATACCAGGTATCAGTATTCTACTCTCTTTTGTGGGCCACAGCTATATTTGTCTTTTTTTTATTTGTCTTTTTTTACTATTTCGACAGCAAAACCCAACGCTAAAAAACTCAATCTCTATCAAGGGTTACAGGTATACCAGTTTCTTTGGATATATTACTACAAATTATTTTTGTATATTATTTTAAACAGACAAGCCCAACGATCAAGATTTCGGGCTCGAGTATCATATACCTGCATATGTATTTGTTTCAATAACTACTTTATGCTGTTTCTATAGGACCTTACAGTCATATTTAATGCTAAACATTAAAACTTTAGTTTTAGGTATGGATTCTAGGTATACAACAATTTTTGACCACTCAGTACTACTTGCTTTATATAAGAAGTATATGTGTAGTTGAAGCCAAATAATTTAAGCTGGTTAAAGATATAAAAGGCTTTTGAGAAATTCACCGACACCTATATCTTTTTTATGTATTTGATATCAAGGATCAAGTAACAAATTTGTGCTCCCCATCATTGTTTAAAGATATACAAGTATTTTTTAAATTATTTCTTTTATTAATGTTTTCATTTCAGTAGTGTATTTCCAATTGATTTAAAGGATCAAGTTTTTGCCTCCATTATAGACTAAACGTATACAGTGCTATTTGAAAATTTAAATAACGTAATTTGCTTTCGTCTAGTACTCACAGTCAAGACAAGTATCAGAGCTCCACGTTTCCTCATAGGATAGAAGTGAACAAGACTCTCTGAACATTTAATTACTGCCTCTTTTAACTACAGCTTGGCCTTACCGTACTTACATTCGCTACTTATCCTGTGGCTGCAAGGAATCGCATAACACTAGCATAACGTTATTACTGCTCATCATCTATCCCAATTAACAACATTAGCAACTCGGCATACTTTAGCTTATTTGTTAGTTTCGGGTATGTTTAATTCAGCCACTAGATTATCCACTGTATTGTATATCGCAGACCTCTGGATATATCCTCTCAGTATCCTCCTCATGCTAATATGAGCCACGAAACTGACCCCACTCAATCTCTAATATTCAATCATTATAGCTACCACCATCACTTTTGAAGCGCTAGTATCTAAATCAATAGCGTATTAACAGTTGAAGGTCAGCTATGCATACGTATATGGCTACTCACGGGGCTATCTTCGTCGTCCTCGTCGCCACCCAGGGAATATTCCCTGAACTAGACACCTTATTCGCCATTTATTTAACCTAATAGATCATACATACGCTCAATCAGCGTATCCAATGCCACACACTGGATATCCATATCGAGCGACCACTTCCAACTTATTCTTGATATTGAATTTGTCCTTAATCATATAGCAGTTCCATCTACATTAGACATTATAATATTCGAAGCTAAATCAGCTTTGGCTATTCTCTAGCTTTTTCGCCTTTAAATACATTACCTCCAATACATATTACAAAAAATATATTATGAATGGTTTCGTTCTCTGTGCAAATTTTGATATCTTTGTGTTGGTGTTGGTATGCCCAAAAAAAGAATTGAATATAGTGGTTGGCGGTGTCAATCTTGATAGCGTTTTAAAGTTGATGTTGGTACGTGTCAAAAAAAAAGAAATATGCTATGGTTGCTGGTGTCAGTTTTAATAGTGTTGTAAAGTTGGTGTCAATTCCAGTAAATTTGTAAAGTCAATGTAGGCATGGAGGTTTGACTGAGGATTCCCGAAAGGGATGAGGTATGTAAAAAGAAGATTCAAGGCATCGTTAAAAAGAATTTTTTTTTTATTCTCTTGTGGCTCAGTGAAGGTGATTTTTGATAGACAGTCCTCTCTGAAAAGTAAATATTTCATTATTAATTTTATTTTAATACGTTATACTATACTACACTATAACATAGTATATCTTTCTATAGGTTTAAGTATAGGTTGAACAACAACAAGGAAGAAATACTGAGTGGATCGTTGTAGAAAAGGTGCCCTAATCAAAAGAGGTAATGTATCAAAAAATGGAAGAACGGATATGGATACTGTGAACGTGTGCGTGGTTGTTGGCAGCTGCCTCTCCTCGGAGAATGAATTTGAAGAAGAAAGGAGAACGAAGTGTAGATGAGAGGAGCGAGAGGAAGAAGCAGAGGAGGCCCATATATGAAGTTTAATGAAAATGAATGAAGTATCTCTTTTTACCACGTTAAAAACACTTTTCCCATTTTATTATTTTGACAACTGATTCTCATCCCTATACGCCTAGTCAAATAAATATTATTTGACTCATCCTAACTATTGGAGTGCACATCTATTGTCTCGAGAACGTATCCTCTTGAAGTAGTTTACTGTCCATCGTTACCACACCTCCATTAAGAATATAGAACCTGTGCTAGATAGTAACCCGGGTGTAAAGACTGTCCAACTTGAATGGCCCTCCTCGCAGTAGTATTGTAATGAGTTACAATACCTCTTACAAGTACCCTATGTGTCAATACAAGACGCTAAAAGAGGGATTGTGATAAATCCCAAATGAAGAAAGAGGGGGTGTTAGGGGGTTTGTTTACGTCACAATTATTGTTACCATTGGCATGATGGTCGAAACCGAACCCACCACTCCCTACGTTTCAATATCAACAAGAACGCAAACCTCAAAGTGTAGATTAAATATTAATATTAATCATGAATAACAAATACAACGCTTCTGGGAATATCATCCTGCACACACATACAAACCAATTTACTCTATAACATAAACAGATATTGCTGAATTTGATATCTTATATTACATATATTACTATTGTATTGTATTTTATTTTGCCTTGTTTTAATAATATTACTAGACCGTTGATGCAGAATAATTGCCAATAAAACATGTTTGAGCAACTCTCTAGCACACGGAACAACTTACCTAAAGTCCCAGCGCTCAGCATCCAGTTCAACCCCTTTGATCCTCCCCTGTATCAAATATATGATTTTTTTACATATATAAAACATGACCGCGGACGGTTAAACGACACCAGTAAAATATGAATGACTCACCATTGATTTAACCTGTGGAATCTGGCAAGCTATTTACCTCAATAGCCGGGACCAAACATTTCTCAAATCGGCATTGGTACTACACCCAAGTTACATGCTAAAAACGGTTCCGTTCGTATCCTTCAACAATAGATCCTGTCAAGAGTGATCCGTGCACATATTTAATATCAGATATAGCAGCTATTATGCACCCATACACTCTCTCTCTGGATAAACCAGAAGATATTTGTAGTAAATCTACATTTTATTGGTATTGCTGTGTATCTTGGTCCCATGACCCAATCCTACTCAAGATTTTCATTTTTCTTCTACACTGATAATGTATTGCCTAGCTTTGTTAGTTTATCTTACTCTTCTTGTATTCACAGAGGGTTTATTTCATTCCTTCAAACCGCTTAACTTATCCAGATAGTTTATTATGTCAAAAGACACCAGTCCCCAGTACACCTACACAATTTTTTTATCTATTCGTCTCAACCGCAATGTCTCTGATAATATTGGGCGTTGAGTGATTGTTCAGGTGCACTAGTTAATCACACCAATGTTCAAATACGATTATATGTAATTTCAGATAACATTATCTCTTTATTATTGTCTTCTTTTTAGTAATCCACGGCCTATGAATTCTTTGCTTAAATCTATAGAAGCTTAAAAGATCTTGAGATCTCGTTTGGATCTCTCTGATTTCAATCCCATACGAAGAGCCAAATGATTTTCTCTTGTGACATCACACAATCGCAGCTCCATGATTTACTTCTTTTCTAAGATTCATCGGAATTTCTAGAAACAAAAAGGAAGAAAAAATTGACATGTTATTGCTTGATAAAAGTAGTTGTGCAAATTATTATTATATAAATATAACTTCTCTGTACATATATAATTCTTATAATGTAGAACGCCTTAACAAGCTATATATCATTCAAAAGTATAACAGTAAAATAAATAGATAAATTGAGAGTAAAAATAAAAGTAAAACAGGTTTCAGTCGGCATTTATAATATTTAATTTTTTTATTTTTTTTTCAAGAAATCAATATTTTACCAAAAAACAAATTCGTAAAATTCTACTTTTCTCAACTTCTACTGATTGTATCTGTATGCTTTTTGGTTCTATCGATAGCTAATAGAGAAGAGTAACAGAAAAGTGGTATTAGAGGCGCTTTGTCGGTCTTTAGAATTTTTCGGAGTTTGAATCATGCTACGATTAGATGGCCGCCGGGATTTGGTATAGTGGGCAGGTTGGTAGAAAATTAAAATGAATCGAATATTGCTGTCCGAGTAGAATATAATAACTATATATATATATTAGAAGAAAAAGAAAAATTGAATTAATCTATAAACAATGCATGTCTTTGCTCACATATTCATCTATGTGATAAAATGTCAGAACAAAAAAAAATTGGTGTAGACAGACTAAAAGTTCAAAAAAAGTGCAAAAGAAGAACAAATTTTAAGTCATATCATTGGGCAAGAGTTTTAATTAATTTTGGTCTTTTTTTGAGTTTTTAGTCTGTCCACACCAAGTGATCAAACATTTATCTCTAATTCTGAAAAAAAATTGTGACTACTTGCATATACAATAAAAAGTAAATATTAAAAATAGAAAAAATAATGAGAAAAATAAGAGGTAAAAATGCTATTGTCTTTAATTAATGCTTATTAATTAAAGACAAAAAAGGGAAAATATTAAATGATTTTTTTTTACTGTTAACTTGGTATTTAAACTATGAAGCAATCAAATCTATTGCTTTTTTGAGATTCTATCACTTGCTTTACCTTGATTAATATAAAAGTCAGATTTTGAAAATTTTTATCTTACTTTATTTTGTTGAGAGTCGCGACTGAAAATAATATGCTTGAATAAAGCAATAACTATTATAGTTTCTTTATTTAATATATTAATCATTTTATATGATTAGTATAAAAACATAACATTTGCCAGAACTATAAAGATAATACTAATCTATTAATTGTTCTCGAATAATACATGGAATAATTAATCACTCAAAAATATAATCTTACTAAAATATATAATTCTTACTAATTTTTTTTTTAAAAAAATTAAAAGATTCTATCATGATATATAAAACTAAAAAAAACCCAAACATATACTCTATTGAGAATTGAACGCCGGACCTGGCTTGAAGTAGTAACAGTGCTTACCACTTAACCTAAATATAAGTAAGTTAACAAAAAAAAATGTATATCTTTGACACAAATGTTGGTGCTTGCAAAATATGACATGGTTACTCTATTGCTCTGTCTAATGGTTTTCATGATATGTCTTTGATGTCACCGTACTTTTATAATATATATTATATTAGTAACTAATTTAGTTGAAAAATTAAAATATTATAATAAGCCTAATATATGTTTCTTTTTTTTAAAAATATAGGTTTGAGGATTATGTTGTGCATCTATAAAGAGAGATTACTATGGCAGGACTTTGTGTTAGACAATGGCTGTTTGGTCTAGAACTGGATATTTAAAGATATACTAAAAGTAAGAATTTTTAAAAATTATGTGTGATAGGATGGGATCATTTTCATTGAAGAAGGTGTTGAAGGTATAAGTATATAGATATCATGTGCATGCAAAAGTAAAAAGACAGTTCTGAGAATAGTAGTATATGTCACTTCAGATATAAAAGAACAGAGTATATGGGTTCCGAGTGCTGAAGTTTGATTATATGGTTATTATTTTTATTTTTATTTTTCAGTAGTGATAAAATAAGAAAGATAGTATGATTGGTATTGTAGACTTTGAAAGCAGTGTGAGGTTGTTGTTGGTACAGGGTTGAAAAAAGAAAAGAATAGAGTGGCGATGACTGTCGACTTTGAACGCAGTGCGAAGTTGTTGTTGGTACAGGGTTGAAAAAATGAAAAGAATAGAGTGGCGATGACTGTCGACTTTGAACGCAGTGCGAAGTTGTTGTTGGTACAGGGTTGAAAAAAGAAAAGAATAGAGTGGCGATGACTGTCGACTTTGAGAGCAGTGCGAAGTTGTTGTTAGTACAGGGTTGAAAAAAGAAAACAATAGAGTGGCGATGACTGTCGCTCTTTGAACGCAGTGCGAAGTTGTTGTTGGTACAGGGTTGAAAAAAGAAAACAATAGAGTGGCGATGACTGTCGCCTTTGAGAGCAGTGCGAAGTTGTTGTTAGTACAGGGTTGAAAAAAGAAAACAATAGAGTGGCGATGACTGTCGCCTTTGAACGCAGTGCGAAGTTGTTGTTGGTACAGGGTTGAAAAAAGAAAAGAATAGAGTGGCGATGACTGTCGCCTTTGAACGCAGTGCGAAGTTGTTGTTGGTACAGGGTTGAAAAAAGAAAACAATAGAGTGGCGATGACTGTCGCCTTTGAGAGCAGTGCGAAGCTTATAGGGACACGAAGGTTTGACCAAGGGCTTATTTTTTGTTAGAGCCGCATATACAGTGAACAGTCGTCAAAAAGATAAAATAAAGAGTATTTCATTTTTTATTTTATTTTTCAAAAGAGTGCGCTTCCTTTTCGTATTGCGTCGCTTTTGGTCCACTTTGAGTTGCAATACAATATGAATGACGATCCTCAACAGGAATGAAGATCCTCGACTGGGATGGCGGAATGTCGAAAGAAGATTCAAGCCATCGTTAAAATTTTTTTTTTGTTTTGGTTACAGCACAGTGAAGGGGTTTTGAATACATAGTCCTCTCTCAACGATTGTAAGTGAGTACCATACGGTCTTTAAACCTTCGTATGGGTAACAGTATCCCTGTCAATGGACCCTGCTATGATTCTTTCACTTGTGGGTACACAAAGGGTGTCTGCACCACCGATCAGTAATACCAGTTTACAAAAAAGTGCGTGCTGTCCGAATTGTCGATTAGAACCCTTAGTTTGTAAAAAGATATAAAAAGAAATAGACAATATCGTATATATTGTACCAGTGCAGCCAATTGACTGGTAGACAGATCCCCAAGTGTGTGCGTGTGTATTAAAGAGGGAAAAAAGGTAGGTGTAAGAGCTCATCTGAAATATACTAACAGATTATATATATATAGTCCTAGAGTAACTTTTAGTATATGAACACAATTCATTTTAAAATAATTTGATAATATATAGATATATATCAACTTGGATTAGACTTATAAATAAAAAGAAAATAAGAGATAAAGCGAATTAAAGGAAGTAGAGTGTTAATTGATCCATAAATATCCAGTGGATCAAACTGTTATAAAGATGTATTAAACCCCATATTGTTGCTTATAGCTCGGATCGGATTTAATTTTAATCAAAATCTTTTGCAGCCGAAATATATATATTCTTGCACAGAACTATTTAATAAACTGCTTGAGAAGTATATGGTACAAGCCAAAGATATCTATTTGTTTAAGTTGCTGTTTAAATAGTTTTAAATAAGAGTATATTTGAAAAATTGAATAGGAAATAAATGATACAAGCTATAGACATATTTCAGTCGAGTTACTATTTAAAAAATCGCAAAGAAATATATAATTATTGAATATAATAGTACCAGCCTTTTTCATTATTAAAATAAAGCCTTTTGGAATTAGATCAAAATAAGATATTGGAATTCATTATATATACTAATATATTAATATGAAATATCAAAAGGCTTGATTATTTGCACGAACAAAGATATAAACCAAAAAACACAAGCTATTAGTTAACTGTAGAGTATCGTGTATAAAGTATCAAAGTGCTTTGCTTTCTATTTTTGGTTGGTTTATTTTGATTTTCATATGATTCTATACTTTTTTTAGACAAAACAAACAAACTTACTTGGGCGGTTACCCAGGCTTTTTTTTTACGATAAACCTGTTATTTCATGCATGACCATCGCATCCGCACTACGGATGCGTTATTGGAATCGCATCCGCACTACGGATGCGTTATTAGAATCGCATCCGCACTACGGATGCGAAAACTTTATCTTTACCTTATTACTTTAGAGAAACCTTTGGATTACCAAATGCATTACCTCAAAACTATAAACGATTATAGTTTTTGCGATTTGTTAGAAAATAAACTTTTCCTCTCCCATATGACCACTGGTTATGGCACCCCCCACCCACAACGCCCCCTTTTCTCTCACACCTCAACTACAGACACAAATATGCCTCGGCTGCATACACACACTTTAAATATATCTATCTCAACTACCCACACACCGACTACCCACACATCGACTACTCACACATCGACTACTCACACATCGACTACTCACACATCGACTACCCACACATCGACTACCCACACACACATCTCTCTTATAATAAATTCATAACCTATATAAACATATAATAAATAATAAATCATATTTTATTTTAGTTATTTAAAGATATTAAAATAAATAAGATATGCGAGTAGGGAGAGACCAAGTTAATTTGTTTGAAGTGAAAGGGACAAGAAGAATGAGAGTACAGAGTATAAGAAATATATGTTTCTTTTTTTTAAAAATATAGGTTTGAGGATTATGTTGTGCATCTATAAAGAGAGATTACTATGGCAGGACTTTGTGTTAGACAATGGCTGTTTGGTCTAGAACTGGATATTTAAAGATATACTAAAAGTAAGAATTTTTAAAAATTATGTGTGATAGGATGGGATCATTTTCATTGAAGAAGGTGTTGAAGGTATAAGTATATAGATATCATGTGCATGCAAAAGTAAAAAGACAGTTCTGAGAATAGTAGTATATGTCACTTCAGATATAAAAGAACAGAGTATATGGGTTCCGAGTGCTGAAGTTTGATTATATGGTTATTATTTTTATTTTTATTTTTCAGTAGTGATAAAATAAGAAAGATAGTATGATTGGTATTGTCGGCTTTGAACGCAGTGCGAAGTTGTTGTTGGTACAGGGTTGAAAAAAGAAAAGAATAGAGTGGCGATGACTGTCGACTTTGAGAGCAGTGCGAAGTTGTTGTTGGTACAGGGTTGAAAAAAGAAAAGAATAGAGTGGCGATGACTGTCGACTTTGGGAGCAGTGCGAAGTTGTTGTTGGTACAGGGTTGAAAAAAGAAAAGAATAGAGTGGCGATGACTGTCGACTTTGAACGCAGTGCGAAGCTTATAGGGACACGAAGGTTTGACCAAGGGCTTATTTTTTGTTAGAGCCGCATATACAGTGAACAGTCGTCAAAAAGATAAAATAAAGAGTATTTCATTTTTTATTTTATTTTTCAAAAGAGTGCGCTTCCTTTTCGTATTGCGTCGCTTTCGGTCCACTTTGAGTTGCAATACAATATGAATGACGATCCCCAACAGGAATGAAGATCCTCGACTGGGATGGCGGAATGTCGAAAGAAGATTCAAGCCATGGTTAAAAAGATTTTTTTTTTGTTTTGGTTACAGCACAGTGAAGGGGTTTTGAATACACAGTCCTCTCTCAACGATTGTAAGTGAGTACCATACGGTCTTTAAACCTTCGTATGGGTAACAGTATCCCTGTCAATGGACCCTGCTATGATTCTTTCACTTGTGGGTACACAAAGGGTGTCTGCACCACCGATCAGTAATACCAGTTTACAAAAAAGTGCGTGCTGTCCGAATTGTCGATTAGAACCCTTAGTTTGTAAAAAGATATAAAAAGAAATAGACAATATTGTATATATTGTACCAGTGCAGCCAATTGACTGGTAGACAGATCCCCAAGTGTGTGCGTGTGTATTAAAGAGGGAAAAAAGGTAGGTGTAAGAGCTCATCTGAAATATACTAACAGATTATATATATATAGTCCTAGAGTAACTTTTAGTATATGAACACAATTCATTTTAAAATAACTTGATAATATATAGATATATATCAACTTGGATTAGACTTATAAATAAAAAGAAAATAAGAGATAAAGCGAATTAAAGGAAGTAGAGTGTTAATTGATCCATAAATATCCAGTGGATCAAACTGTTATAAAGATGTATTAAACCCCATATTGTTGCTTATAGCTCGGATCGGATTTAATTTTAATCAAAATCTTTTGCAGCCGAAATATATATATTCTTGCACAGAACTATTTAATAAACTGCTTGAGAAGTATATGGTACAAGCCAAAGATATCTATTTGTTTAAGTTGCTGTTTAAATAGTTTTAAATAAGAGTATATTTGAAAAATTGAATGGGAAATAAATGATACAAGCTATAGACATATTTCAGTCGAGTTACTATTTAAAAAATCGCAAAGAAATATATAATTATTGAATATAATAGTACCAGCCTTTTTCATTATTAAAATAAAGCCTTTTGGAATTAGATCAAAATAAGATATTGAAATTCATTATATATACTAATATATTAATATGAAATATCAAAAGGCTTGATTATTTGCACGAACAAAGATATAAACCAAAAAACACAAGCTATTAGTTAACTGTAGAGTATCGTGTATAAAGTATCAAAGTGCTTTGCTTTCTATTTTTGGTTGGTATATTTTGATTTTCATATGATTCTATACTTTTTTTAGACAAAACAAACAAACTTACTTGGGTGGTTACCCAGGCTTTTTTTTTACGATAAACCTGTTATTTCATGCATGACCATCGCATCCGCACTACGGATGCGTTATTAGAATCGCATCCGCACTACGGATGCGAAAACTTTATCTTTACCTTATTACTTTAGAGAAACCTTTGGATTACCAAATGCATTACCTCAAAACTATAAATGATTATAGTTTTTGCGATTTGTTAGAAAATAAACTTTTCCTCTCCCATATGACCACTGGTTATGGCACCCCCCACCCACAACGCCCCCTTTTCTCTCACACCTCAACTACAGACACAAATATGCCTCGGCTGCATACACACACTTTAAATATATCTACCTCAACTACCCACACATCGACTACCCACACACACATCTCTCTTATAATAAATTCATAACCTATATAAACATATAATAAATAATAAATCATATTTTATTTTAGTTATTTAAAGATATTAAAATAAATAAGATATGCGAGTAGGGAGAGACCAAGTTAATTTGTTTGAAGTGAAAGGGACAAGAAGAATGAGAGTACAGAGTATAAGAAATATATGTTTCTTTTTTTTAAAAATATAGGTTTGAGGATTATGTTGTGCATCTATAAAGAGAGATTACTATGGCAGGACTTTGTGTTAGACAATGGCTGTTTGGTCTAGAACTGGATATTTAAAGATATACTAAAAGTAAGAATTTTTAAAAATTATGTGTGATAGGATAGGGTCATTTTCATTGAAGAAGGTGTTGAAGGTATAAGTATATAGATATCATGTGCATGCGAAAGTAAAAAGACAGTTCTGAGAATAGTAGTATATGTCACTTCAGATATAAAAGAACAGAGTATATGGGTTCCGAGTGCTGAAGTTTGATTATATGGTTATTATTTTTATTTTTATTTTTCAGTAGTGATAAAATAAGAAAGATAGTATGATTGGTATTGTCGACTTTGAACGCAGTGCGAAGTTGTTGTTGGTACAGGGTTGAAAAAAGAAAAGAATAGAGTGGCGATGACTGTCGACTTTGAGAGCAGTGCGAAGTTGTTGTTGGTACAGGGTTGAAAAAAGAAAAGAATAGAGTGGCGATGACTGTCGCCTTTGAACGCAGTGCGAAGTTGTTGTTAGTACAGGGTTGAAAAAAGAAAAGAATAGAGTGGCGATGACTGTCGCCTTTGAACGCAGTGCGAAGTTGTTGTTAGTACAGGGTTGAAAAAAGAAAAGAATAGAGTGGCGATGACTGTCGCCTTTGAACGCAGTGCGAAGTTGTTGTTAGTACAGGGTTGAAAATAGAAAAGAATAGAGTGGCGATGATTGTCGCCTTTGAACGCAGTGCGAAGCTTATAGGGACACGAAGGTTTGACCAAGGGCTTATTTTTTGTTAGAGCCGCATATACAGTGAACAGTCGTCAAAAAGATAAAATAAAGAGTATTTCATTTTTTATTTTATTTTTCAAAAGAGTGCGCTTCCTTTTCGTATTGCGTCGCTTTTGGTCCACTTTGAGTTGCAATACAATATGAATGACGATCCCCAACAGGAATGAAGATCCTCGACTGGGATGGCGGAATGTCGAAAGAAGATTCAAGCCATCGTTAAAAAGATTTTTTTTTGTTTTGGTTACAGCACAGTGAAGGGGTTTTGAATACACAGTCCTCTCTCAACGATTGTAAGTGAGTACCATACGGTCTTTAAACCTTCGTATGGGTAACAGTATCCCTGTCAATGGACCCTGCTATGATTCTTTCACTTGTGGGTACACAAAGGGTGTCTGCACCACCGATCAGTAATACCAGTTTACAAAAAAGTGCGTGCTGTCCGAATTGTCGATTAGAACCCTTAGTTTGTAAAAAGATATAAAAAGAAATAGACAATATCGTATATATTGTACCAGTGCAGCCAATTGACTGGTAGACAGATCCCCAAGTGTGTGCGTGTGTATTAAAGAGGGAAAAAAGGTAGGTGTAAGAGCTCATCTGAAATATACTAACAGATTATATATATATAGTCCTAGAGTAACTTTTAGTATATGAACACAATTCATTTTAAAATAACTTGATAATATATAGATATATATCAACTTGGATTAGACTTATAAATAAAAAGAAAATAAGAGATAAAGCGAATTAAAGGAAGTAGAGTGTTAATTGATCCATAAATATCCAGTGGATCAAACTGTTATAAAGATGTATTAAACCCCATATTGTTGCTCATAGCTCGGATCGGATTTAATTTTAATCAAAATCTTTTGCAGCCGAAATATATATATTCTTGCACAGAACTATTTAATAAACTGCTTGAGAAGTATATGGTACAAGCCAAAGATATCTATTTGTTTAAGTTGCTGTTTAAATAGTTTTAAATAAGAGTATATTTGAAAAATTGAATGGGAAATAAATGATACAAGCTATAGACATATTTCAGTCGAGTTACTATTTAAAAAATCGCAAAGAAATATATAATTATTGAATATAATAGTACCAGCCTTTTTCATTATTAAAATAAAGCCTTTTGGAATTAGATCAAAATAAGATATTGGAATTCATTATATATACTAATATATTAATATGAAATATCAAAAGGCTTGATTATTTGCACGAACAAAGATATAAACCAAAAAACACAAGCTATTAGTTAACTGTAGAGTATCGTGTATAAAGTATCAAAGTGCTTTGCTTTCTATTTTTGGTTGGTTTATTTTGATTTTCATATGATTCTATACTTTTTTTAGACAAAACAAACAAACTTACTTGGGCGGTTACCCAGGCTTTTTTTTTATCGATAAACGCTGTTATTTCATGCATGACCATCGCATCCGC